TTTACAGATCTTCTTTATGCACCAAGAGCTTGTAACACTCCAAAGAGAAAGGAAAAATTGAAATCACATCATATGACCCCTTTAAGATATGTCATGAATGGCCACAAATGACGTTTGACCATTTCATGGTATCATGTCAGAGATTGATCCATTGGTTTTCATTCTGCTTCATGCACATAACAGAACACCCTCTACACAAACAAATAGAGAAAATGGGTATGTATTGCTATTTTAACACTATGTTTCTGCCAGTACTGCATTTCACATGGAATCTACGGTTAAAGCTTATTTAGGTCTGATTAATAAAGTGCTGCTTAGGAATGTGAGGATTTGTTTTGTAATTATTTTAGGATTTGGCCAAGATCTCTCATTCCACACATTTTTGGCATGTGGTTTTCCTTTCACCCACGAGGGGTATAAAAGGGAAGCACTGTGGTAAGTATCTCTAGTCTTACAGGATTTACTTCTCTAATCAGGCCTCTGTAGAAAAAACAGATGCAAAACCACTCACGTCTTGGTAGAACTGAGCAAAAGGTTAACTCTTAACTTTTATAAAGGTTTTGAGACTTTAGTGTTTGCAACTTTACAGATCTTCTTTATGCACCAAGAGCTTGTAACACTCCAAAGAGAAAGGAAAAATTGAAATCACATCATATGACCCCTTTAAGATATGTCATGAATGGCCACAAATGACGTTTGACCATTTCATGGTATCATGTCAGAGATTGATCCATTGGTTTTCATTCTGCTTCATGCACATAACAGAACACCCTCTACACAAACAAATAGAGAAAAATGGGTATGTATTGCTATTTTAACACTATGTTTCTGCTAGTACTGCATTTCACATGGAATCTACGGTTAAAGCTTATTTAGGTGTGATTAATAAAGTGCTGCTTAGGAATGTGAGGATTTGTTTTGTAATTATTTTAGGATTTGGCCAAGATCTCTCATTCCACACATTTTTGGCATGTGGTTTTCCTTTCACCCACGAGGGGTATAAAAGGGAAGCACTGTGGTAAGTATCTCTAGTCTTACAGGATTTACTTCTCTAATCAGGCCTCTGTAGAAAAAACAGATGCAAAACCACTCACGTCTTGGTAGAACTGAGCAAAAGTCTTGCGCATTCCATTCTGCATAAAAACCAAAGCTTCACGGTCAGGGTGGCGCTCCACTGAGCGGTGAAGACACTGGTCCACAGTACTAGAGAGCAGCGAATGGGAGGATATGCCGTGAACATAACTGGTAGTCAGGGTTGGGATGCTGGGTGGGTTATCCACATGAACGTCACTGAAAAAAAAAGAGGAGCAAAAAGAAGAGTTTGAGTGTATAAGAGATGCAGAGACACGTTTGAATAGAAACAAATACATTTTTTTTCATCCTTGTATGTAAGTATTGAAGTGAGTTCTGTGAACTGCAACAACCATCAGTTTCATAAAGGAAGTAGTCTTTTTGTTTGGGTCTTGTGAAGTTCACACTGAAGGGAGAGCAGAAGATTAAAAAACATCCTGACAACACTGATGTTTATGATAGGAAAAGGTGAAGTAAGGGATATCAGCTGCACTATTTCTCACTTTAGAGACCAAAGAAGATGGTATTTTTTGATGCTCAACATGGCAGTTGATTTGTGATTTGAAGGTAACACAGCAGCACAGTTGAAATTAGCACACAGATAAAGTTAATTTCTTCTGCTGCTACATATAAAATAAACTCAAAACCGCATGGAAAGAAGTATATTATGCTCACAATTTCACATTATCTTACAGAAACCATTCTGATTTGGTGCTCAGGAAACAGTGTTGAAAACAGTCATGCTGCTTAATATTTTCGTGGAAACCATGATAGGCCTACATTTTTCCAGGATTCTTTGATGAATAGAAAGTTCAAAAGAACTGCAATTATGTGAAATATAAATATTTTTGTAACAATATAAATGTCTTTACTTTCCTTTACTTTTGATGCATCATTGTTTTGAACCTTAAACCGCATAAACACATTTCATTACACCAAATACACCAAATAATGTTGTTTTTAGCAACATCATATGACCCCTTTAAATTAGCTAACCATTTTGTGTGTGTGTACCTGGTCCCCACAAGTATAGTAATACCAGTAAATGTTGATCTTGTAGGGACATTTTTTTTTGTCCCCATGAGGAAAACAGCTAATAAATCATACAGAATTAGTTTTTTTGAAAATCTAAAAATGCAGAAAGTTTTGTGTGAGGGGTAGGTTTTAAGGGGTAGGAAAGAGCAGCAGAATCTTTCATTGCACTTACTAGAGAACGTATTTTGACGAATAATATCTCCCATACCAATTTCTTTGTAGTGTCAGTTAAAGGGTTAATGAAAACATTACATAACTACAACAGCAACTGATATACAATTCATCAGAAGACGGAGTTGTTTTCGAGTTTCCAAGAATATGGAGACACAATTCAAAAACAAATCTAAAAATGTTTGACAACTTCCGCCAAATAAATCATAAAAGATGCATGTATGTCTTTTTAACGATTTCTTACCAACTCTGTTGAGAAGCAATGAAAGGAGTCCAGGGTCTCTGCAGAAAATTCAGTGTTTTGCAGAAGTTTGCAGTCGTTCGTAGATTAGTCACAAGAATCTTAGAAGACATCTTTCACCTTTACAATAAAAGTCAACTGCGAAGAATCTTTTAGTTTAGAATATTTGATTAAGAAACTCTGTGCTATTGCAAACAAAACCATGTAACGTTACCCAGACATGATCTGGCGCGCTCATATGTGAAATAAAAGCACACAACATTAAAATAATCAACCCTGAATTATTAATTAATTGCGATGGTAAATCATGAATGCTCGACTTCTAAGCAACACAAAGATCGTGCCACCGCGATCCCAAAGTTAATCGTTGAACCAACAACACCCCAAGTTGCAAGACAAGCAGCCGGATATGAACTTTAGAGGACGCAAAAAACATACGTTTACATGCATAGCAACATACCCGGGTCAATGACGAGACGCCTACATTTTCTGTCCGATTGCATTTATTTTATTTTTTTTCTGTTATAAATGGGTTTAAAAGTATAAAAAGTTACCTTATGGGACCCAGGCATAAACTTTTGTCCTCTGTAAGGACATTATTTAGGGAATTTCTCTGAGACCCTACATGCCACTACATGTCTGGATGTCCCATACAGAACACATTCAGGACTTTTTAGGGATATCAAATGTTTGGAGGTTTGATCCTAAGCACACCTTCTCATTGGTCCTTAAAAATGACTGATACTGACAGAATTATCAAATTTAGCACTCTTGGGGAAATATGATAATATTTTGTAATTATCACTTAAATCTGACTAATTTTCAAATTGTTTGTCGTAAAAAAAAAAATCTCAGAAAAAGGTTATGGGGTTGCAAATCGGAATATGACTTTTTGTTATGAAACAGGGCATAATTTTCATACATGTCTTCTGTAGAGGACACCAGGACTAAAGGTAAGTCTGCTAGTAAGGAATGTGAAAGAAAGGCGTTCTTCATGTTTAACGTCTATTACCAATAAACACGCAGACTGCTGGAATACAAAAACATTGTTTTAGGTCGAGCTCGATTTGTGAAAACTTCCCTGGGTCAATAACATCGCTATTCTGATCTGTGAAAACTTTCACAGTTCAGTACGGGTCAGCTGACCCTTCCCTGAGTCACTAACATCACTATTCTGATCTGTGAAAACTTTCACAGTTCAGTACGGGTCAGCTGACCCTTCCCTGAGTCACTAACATCACTATTCTGATCTGTGAAAACTTTCACAGTTCAGTACGGGTCAGCTGACCCTTCCCTGAGTCACTAACATCACTATTCTGATCTGTGAAAACTTTCACAGTTCAGTACGGGTCAGCTGACCCTTCCCTGAGTCAGTAACATCACTATTCTGATCTGTAAAAAAATCACAGTTCAGTACAGGTCAGCTGACCCTTCCCTGAGTCACTAACATCACTATTCTGATCTGTAAAAACTGACCCGTACTGAACTGTGAAAGTTTTCACAGATCACAATGGTGATGTTACTGACTGAACCGTTATCTGACCATAACTGCACAGTTTTCACAAATCAAAATAGTGATGTAAATGAATCAGGGAAGAGTTAACTGACCAACATTGCACTGCGAAATCTTTCAGATCAGAACAGTTAAGTTAAGGGATCAAGAAAGGGTTAACTGACAAAAGCTATACTGTGAAACTTTTGCAAATCAGAATATTGAAGCCAAGTACTCAAGGAAAGGTACAACAACCAAAACTTTGTCAAACAAAGTGTACAATTGTATATGTGTCTGCGTGTTTATTGGTAATAGACGTTAAACATGAAGAACGCCTTTCTTTCACATTCCTTACTAGCGGACTTACGAAGGGGTTTACGGACAAGAGCTTTGCTGTCAAAAAAATCACAGATCAAGCTGGTGAAGATGACACCGGTTTCATTCCTCTAAGTGTCCAACTTTTGGAGCTATAGGCATTATAAAATTAAGAGTCGCTACGAAAAAAAACGCGATTTCAGCCCGAAGGACAGCGTCACCTGAATTCTCAAATCATGGAGAATGATATTCGGTATTATTTGCATGTCTATGACAGCGCGCTGCGTATTTATAGCCAAAAGAAATCTGAATATCAAACCGCAAACCATGTTTACTGCGGTGAATCACCGAAAATAAACCGTGGAACTTTGACCAATGAGACAACAGTTTACATGCGCGTGACTTGTATTAACAAATTTGGTCCTTTAGAAACTTTGCCATGTGAAAGCGAACCGCACCAAGAATAAAAAGCAACATTGTAATAATTTTAATCCCTGTTTCGGAACAAAGCAATCGATCTACAGGTGTGAAAGCACCCAGACTCGTTCGCTAGTTTTGATTCCTACAACTGATTATTTGAAAACTCCAACACTGAAGGTGGCGATAATGCACCTTAACGCTGGTGCAACCCACCATAAAACAGAAGAAGAAGAATCAAACATCACTGTTCAAGAATCAGCTACGGGAAATAGGTATAGTAGAGTATAATGTTGAAAATATAGTAACATGTGGAAATAATGACCAAGGACGGAGATATTTGTTTTATTTTCTAAGGAGGACTGGACTGGAAGGACGAATTTAATTATGATATAGTAAGTTAAAGTGAGACAGCAGATGGCAGTAATGCAACACTGTTAGTTAAATCGCATGACTATTATTATCCTAACAGAAAACGTCTTTTAAGTTGAATTTCACTCAGAGGAGAATGTAAAACAGGCGGAATCTGATAATGGACGCGGTGCGGTGCAGTGTGGAGTATTTATCAGAGTTCAGTGACTGTCAGTCACACTCAGTGCGCGTTATTCAGGACGGCGTGAATCTTTTCTTGACCCGCGGAGACCGAGATGTGCTCATATTAGGGATGGGCCATACCACTTATTTTGTTTTCGATACGATACCGATATTTCAGTTCTATCCTACACAATTACTCGCTAACAAAGGTTATTCGTCCAATTCAATGCATTTGTACGCATTATTATTATTATTTTAAATAAACAAAATCACTGGTAAATAAAACACACCTTAGTATCGATATTTTTAGTTTGAGTATCGATACTTTCGATACTCGCGTCAGTATCGATATATCGATACTTAGGATCGATACGCCCATCCCTAGCTCATATTCAATATCCAGGAGAGGAGAGTCACGGCAAGTGGACGTTTGTTCTCACTTCTGTGTTCAACTATACTACTTTTCTGTCTCCATTCTCACTTAATACGTGTTGTTTTTCAGACCGTGATGTTGTTTGAAGCCTCAGTGATAAATTTAGCATTAAGTGACGATAAACATCGACTTTATGCACTTTGTGCGAACGGTGGGCTTTACTGCACCCCTTTACCACCACAGCTCAGGTAGTAATATATAGATTATATACAGATTACTGTTTCCGCGATAAATGATCACTTGCTATTAAATATGTATGTACGTGTGTAATTTAATTACAGCAAATAAACGTACGTATTTATTGGAAAACAGACCAACAATACTGATGATTTATGTTGAACTACACAATTTTTTGTCCAATCGAATGCTTTTAAGAATGAAAATTCTGAACTTGTTAGCAACTGTAACCAAGGGGCGGTGCTTAGTAATTAGCAATCAAATTCAATGATTAATATTACTTGTTGAATTCACGTTTTGTTTTACTAAATAAACTAAATACAGTCATAATATGAAGTCTCCTAGCTGAGTTGCTATAAGGACATTTCTTTCTTCCCATTGGAAATTTGACCATAAATCCCAGATAGTACAGGTACGTCTGCAAGACGTCTGTTAAAGATCTCTTCATCTGGAAAGCATCTGCTGTTTACAAACTTCTGATAAACGTCTTTAAGATGATTTGAGAGTCAATGATATACAAGAATGTCCACAATAAAGATTATTTTCAAAATTTAGTAAACATGAGCCAATTTATTGGAGATGTACTCGTTTCGTTTTCACACTGGTCTCATATGGTTTGTAAAACCTTTCTACCATTTTCAGGAAAAGTTTCAGTTTAATGACTGAAAAGATGTCATGTGGTGTGATCATCAAAAAAAAGTAATGAAGTTTTTCCTTGTTTTGAATACATATGCGTGTACATTAATAATTACTTTCAAACAAGTTTTAAAATATACATTTTCAAGGTATTTTTTAAATCCATTACATGTATTATTAATAAATATGAATACAGTTTTGGAGAGTTAAACCACATGACATTTTACAACCTGACCTAATGTTGCCTTGATTTGGCAGACCAAAAATTGCTAAGCAGTGAAGCAGTTTTTATTAAAATATTTATATAAGAAATAATAGTAAAACATTATGCCAGACTACTTGTGATTTTCTGTTTAGAATAATTTTATTTTTTAATGAAGCTTTTTTTTCCCCCTTCATTTTGATATCAGGACTGATGTATCATCCTGACATTTTTGACTGTATATCCCTTAAAATATCAAAATTACTGTACTCATACTCATTCTGAATATATTTTTTAATAACTTAGATTAGTTTTGGTAATCTGTAAATTCACTTTTTATAGGCTTCAATGAGCATAGTGTACGAGGACCAGTGCTGTGTGCCTGTGTTGATGATAAGCGGCTGTACTACAGCTCTCTCAATGACCTACACGCTCTTCAGCTCACCACAACATCTTCATCAGAAGCAACAGGAACTGAGTCCCAACTGCAAGCTCTGACCTCTGACAGTCTTGGTGTATGCAGGGCTATAGCACTTGCTGGGCCATATACTAACCCCACAGGTACAGTACATTAATTATGATAAATCTCTATGCTGTTTACCGGGCTTTTGCAGTATTTTAAGTCACTAACACAAAGTGTTTGTTTTCAAATTTTAAGGATCTGTGCAGCTTTTGGCAGTATCTTTGAGCGGAAGACTGCTTCGCGTGAACCTTCCTCAAGGATCTGAAAATGTTCCCAGGTTGCCCTCATCTCTGGCAGGCCAGAGAGTGAAAGACCTTCTGGCTTCCATCGCAAACATCTGGGAGAGGTCTGTTTCATGCTTCATCATTGAAAAGACTACTGGTTTTCCGGCGGCAAAAGCTAAATGTCACCTTTTGTGTTTATTTTGATTTATTTCAAATTTAGTTTATCTTATAATCATAGTTGTTCTTGAAAAAAAATCATTGTTTTTATTAATTGTTTTTATGAATTTATTTTGTTTTGTTTTTTTACATTTAAAACGGCCAGAAAAATATTTTCACGTCATTGACACTTTTTTTTCTTCTGCAGGGCAGAATCCTTGAAACACAAGCTTCAGGAGAAAAATGAGTCTCTCAAACATCTTAATCAAGTCATAAATGTTTGCAGCCTGAGCCTCCTGTTGGACAACCATGGGAATGAAAAGGTGTGTAATATGGGCACCAAGCATCCAATCAGCTGTTATGGTTAGCTAGATGGAGCTCGTTGCTCCAAAGAGACTCTTTGACTCTCACATGTGTGCTTGAAAATTCAAGTGGATGTACATTGGAACATGGCTGGACTTTGTGCATTCAGGTCCATCCATTATCCAAGGGTCCAAATATGGAAGGCTCAGCTAGGACATACTCATTCCCTTTCATGAAACTGGATTCTGGTCAGAAACTGGATGTAACCATTCCCCTTGAAAGCACTGGCGGGCTGTCTCTGCCAGTGAAAGTCTACTGTTCTCTCGCCTTCTCCCTATCTGCTCTGTTTAGTCCTGAAGCATCTTCTCCTGGTGTTTCCCAGCTCCTAACAGAGATGGGCTCCATCTGTGCACCTTTGAGTACTTTAACAGTTGACTGGCTTGATGCTTTAAGGCTAGATGGAACATTTTCTAATTGTAATATCAGACACAACACTGTCACGGATGGCATCCAAGCCTTCCTGCGTTCCAGAGGAGCGTTAACCAGAGATTCTGATACTACTACCAAGTCAGGACCCATCACAGTGATGGTCAGGGTATCATCACAGCTCCTAAATACCAAACTGCACCTCTCAGCAACCAGCAGTGCAGAAAGATGCATGTCTGTGCTAAACTGGGTGGTATCACCTGAGGAGAGAGGACAAATGTCGATACAAAGTCCAGTGGTTTGTGCCTACAGCCCAGATGGATGTTCTGTCAAGCTTCTGGTCAAAGAGGTGCTGACTTTACACTACTTAATATTTATTTATGATCATAAAGTCTGTAATTTAGAATGAGTTACCCATGTCTTTCCTCAAGGTAACACTGGGAGATTTCTGTTCTGATGGACCTCTTGAAGTCTTGGAGATTCGGGTGGAAAGTTCATCTGTGGCAGCGGTGTGTGGACTGCATCATGCCATTCTAAGGCGCCTTCAGGTACTTTTATAATAAAGTATTTCCATTTTTCAAACATGGACTTGCAGTTGAATCTAATTTACAGATCATGACATTTTCAACAGGTCTTGCTCAGAGACTCGGCTGTGAAATGTGTTCATACAAAACAGCTAAAGGCACAGAGCTTGTTTGAAGCCGTACAGCATGTTGAGGTAGATCTGATTTCCTTCAATTTATCTGTTTATTACACTTTTACACTGTGATTAGTATTGATTCACATGTATCAGACAGTTTTGCTTAAATTACATACAACAATATAATTTTTTTTCTATTATCAGTCTCTTTATAAAGACCTTCAGGATGCTCAGAATCAATTATGAGCGTTGGCTTTCCGAGCAGCTTCTTTGACTCTTTCAAGTGTGCAGTCCTTTAAACCGTATTCAATATTATATCTCACAGAGCCAGAGAAAAGCACAGGATCCTGGGATACCATTGCCACCTAAGCCAAATGAAAGAGAATTATGTATCAATTTACAAACTACTACTCGTTTCACCAAACCATCCAACAGAATTGGTTGTTTGCACATCTCTCCTCAAGTTAAATGGTTATAAATGCTGGTGTATCATTCCTTGCCTTTTTATGCAAGTACTGGTGTTGGTAGTGGTGCAGAGGTTCTTCGTCCAGTAACACCTCACCCTCCTGTGGCTCATAGAACCTCTGCAGCAAGCAGACACAAGAGGTCTTCCCACCACCAGTGGGTCCTACCAATGCCGTCAGCTTCCCTGGACTCAATTCCAATGTAACAGACTGCAACAATTCAACAATGAGTCCATGCAAATTCCATTAGTTCTCTGATCTGCTTTTGCACTATTAACCAAAGCCTACCTTAAGTGCTTTTTCATTAGGGCGGGAGTGGTAGGAAAAGGTGACCTTTTCAAAGGTTAGTCTTCCCTCAACCTTCTCTGGGGCCAAATCACCTGCCTCTCTCATCTGTGGCTTCCTGTCAAGCAGCTGGAACACCTTCACTGCTGATCCCACAGTATTCAGCATGTCTCCGTAGATATATACAAGATGCTGAGAATATAATGATGGACAGAGTTTAGTCTCTCTAAATGAGTCATATTACTGTAAAATTCTAGTTGCCAGTCATACCTTCATGTTGGTCACCATGTCCTTCTGATAGAACACAAATGCAAAGAGGCTGCCGCTGCTTAGCTGTCCAGAGGAGATGAGATTTCGGCCTTGGAACAGCATTGCTACCTTCAAGCCTACTGTAATGAACTACAATGCAATGAAATAAAACACAATTTCTATTTTGGAGACCGGTGCATGCAAATCAGGACTGTATATGATTTACCCTGCGTATTAAGAGATGGATGGCACTGTATATGCCTTTACGCCTCAGAATCTGGAGCTTCCGGTTGAGAGTCTGTTCATATCGCTGCTGCTCCTGATGCTCTGCCTTAAAACCGCGCACAGTCTTCATTGACCCAATGACAGAAGATGCCAGCTCTGTAGTCTCTGCATTACAGTCCTGAAGCTCTTTGGCTATTGTCTGATAAGAAAGGTGAGACGCTATGAATTCATTACGGTTGTACCCCCAAGTGTTGTTGTTGTTTTTTTATTTGTTGAAAAGAGTTTTCAGGAGAGGCCAAAGCACAGTGTGTTTGATTAGGGTTGGAGCTGAACTTTGCAGGACAGTCGATCGCCAGGAGCAGGGTTGGGCACCCCTGCTCTAAATGAAGATTCATATTACTGTAAAATTCTACCTGCCAGGCATACTTTCATGTTGGTCACCATGTCCTTCTGATAGAACACAAATGCAAGGAGGCTGCCGCTGCTTAGCTGTCCAGAGGAGATGAGATTTCGGCCTTGGAACAGCATTGCTACCTTCAAGCCTACTGTAATGAACTACAATGCAATGAAATAAAACACAATTTCTATTTTGGAGACCGGTGCATGCAAATCAGGACTGTATATGATTTACCCTGCGTATTAAGAGATGGATGGCACTGTATATGCCTTTACGCCTCAGAATCTGGAGCTTCCGGTTGAGAGTCTGTTCATATCGCTGCTGCTCCTGATGCTCTGCCTTAAAACTGCGCACAGTCTTCATTGACCCAATGACAGAAGATGCCAGCTCTGTAGTCTCTGCATTACAGTCCTGAAGCTCTTTGGCTATTGTCTGATAAGAAAGGTGAGACGCTATGAATTCATTACGGTTGTACCCCCAAGTGTTGTTGTTGTTTTTTTATTTGTTGAAAAGAGTTTTCAGGAGAGGCCAAAGCACAGCTTTATGAAGCTGTGTGAAAGTAATAAGGAAACCAACATGAGAAGGTTTACTAACCTGGGAGATGTTGTTGTATGAATTCTGAATGAAAGCAAGAAGTGGCATTTCAATGCAGGTGAGGAGGGTTAACTGCCAGGATAGACGCAGCATAAAGAACAGCATGCCACATGTCTTCACCAAACTCCGCAGTAACACATTCACATTCATGGCCACAGAGCGTCCCATTTTATCAGTGTCAGAGATCAAACGTGATGTGAGACTACCTGTAAGAGAGAAAATTTTGTTTCTGAGGCATGATTTTAAATAATATATTATCACATATGCACTATTTAGTAGCTTTGTCTACTTTCAAAATCATACTCAAATATGCAGCGGAATGCAGTCTCGCAAGACGTGTTTTTAACCTTCTGAGGATCTTCAGTCATTTAGGAAGAAGTTTATGTATGAATTTTTAAAGTGTTTTACTTTTTTGGAATGGTAAAAAACTTAGTGACTCTTGTGGCACTTGCTATTTGAAAACATACAAAAAATTGGTTGATTCTGAGGCAGCTGGGGATAAAGAGTCGATTCCACTCGGATGAATCAAGTCCTCAAAAGAGCCTATTCAATTATACTGTGGTAAGAACTCGAGAAGCGTTTTTTTTGTTGTTGAACAACTTGATTGGATTTTGAGCATTGCACTCAAAAGTGGAGGCAGATGAATGTGAGCTTGCAGGGGTGGGGTTTAAGCTGAAAAAATTAATGGAGAAGTCAGTCGTTTTCACCAGAAGATCCAGTTTTGACATTTAAAAAAAATATTAAACATGACTGAACTGTTCACAATGACATCTAAAACATTCATTTAGAAAATAGATAAAGACAATTTTTATTTCTCTGGCAAATGTTTACTTGAAGACAATTAGCACTAAACTTCAATTGAAGTGAAGGGACAGGTACCTGGTTTGTTTTCTTCAAAGAAGCTCATCTCCTGCTTCATGAGGTTCTGGAACAGCATGTGTCGTATTCTTTTGTTGAGTCTGCTGAGGCTACACATGAACATCCCGCCGTGCATACCACCGAACATAGAACTTAAAGACACAAATGAACAATTAATTCCAAAAACAAAACCAGTTTGTACAAGGCGGCATTCGTTTTTAAGATATTTGCATGGCAGTGATGTTACACTGACCTTCCAAATGAGCACAGTGCCATGAGTCCAATAGCCCATGAGAAATTGGTGTGCTGGTACTTTCCACTCAATATGTCAATAACTTTGCCAATGCATTATGGGATGAATGTCTCGACTATGCTACCCAGCGCTTCAGGAGAGGCTGAATGCTGCTGTCAGCAAAAATCGTGCTCAATGAATAAAGCACAACACAGCTGATGGCCCTGAGAGCCCACAGGCACCATAGATCCAGACTGCCCTCTCCATCCAGCCACAGCAGTGCCGTCCAAACACAAGCCCAGATGACAACATCACAGCACAACAGGCAGAAATGCACTGCTGCAGTTCTAAAGATGGGGTGAGCCTCTGAGGTCATCTTAAAACTGAAAAGATAAAGATGATGAATCAGATAAACCAGTCTAGAATGGTTTCAAAGCCTGGTCACACTAGTCTGTTGGCTGGTTTTAGAGGGGTTTTAGCTGACGGGAAAGCTGGTCTCTTAGTGTGACCAACTGAAAAACCATTTAAAGCTACAAGCTAAGACTAGCAAACCAGCTTAGGCTGGTTTACAATGTTTTCAGAGGCATCAATCGTCTCTAGTGCATTTAAATATAGGATAAGCGCTAAACAATATAAAGAGATACACAATATAAGTCTTCTGACCATTAGCTTCTCTCGTTGCATTTTATCGCAAGTTCACGTTTGGTTTCACTTTCACACTTGTGGGCGGTGTCAAAACTGGTTTTCAGTTCCACTACGCATACGAATAATGAGAATCGATTTAGAAAACACATTTAATAACCGCATAGTTTGCTTAAAACGAGGTAGTGTGCATAAAAAAAAAACGTTTTTATCTCAAATTGCTACTGTATGTTGTGCATATGACGGATCATGACGTTGTACACTACGTCGGCTGGTCGATATGGAAAGCGGGTGGGGCCAAAAGTCTTTAAACGGAACGCGTGAAATGCGACCGTGTCAACACGCACAATTTGCCCGCGTTTCTGTTGTACGTGTAGACACGCACAGTTTGACCGCATTAAGACGACAAATTTGATTTGTCAGTAATGTCACACCCTGAATGGTTAAAATGGCTTTTAAAGTTGTGTCTACTGTGTATAGAGTTAAACACCTGGTGGAAAATGGACACCATGGTACATTTTGGTTAGGAGGATAGGATTATATTCCAACATATTACAGGGTAGATCAACACTGGGGCACTACATAACAAAATATTCTTTAGTAACTGCCTACAATGTATTCACTTTGACATTGCATGTCTACATCTGATCTTTAAGAGCAACTACCCCCGATAATAAAGCATAGCATCAATGCCATGTGCCTCAACACTACGGCTGTGTGTCAAATCAAGTAACCCGCCTACCTAGACAGCATCACAGGCGGCCAAAACTGCAGCACGCTGCTGATATGCCTCGAAAATGCAGTCTAAGTAGTCAGCTCACTAAGTTTTGAGACACACCCGATGTAAACACAGGTATAACTTGTTTAAACACGGTTGATCTTGCGTCTTCGAGGGAAGCAACAAGTTTAAATGTTTGCGTAAACAGGCCCAACTGTTCTATGTAGTAAAGAGTTGTAATGCGCTTGTGTTTTTACGCGTAACGGCCCGTGTATATATATCCAGCTTTTGTTTTGGCCGGCTGTTTTTCCCCACTTCAGCCTGTGGGCCTACCACCATTATCCGTCTCCTATAATCTCAGCTAACCAGTTTAATTTAGAAAAGACATCGAAACGTAGATCCCAACCTACTGTTGCTTCACGTAAATAACAGAGAAATATTAAAGCACCGTTTGTGGCTCGTTAAGCTTGGAACAATGGTTGTGTTTATACAATCCGACACAAAGTAGACCTGACAAGAAACAAAATATAGCGATTTAAAAGAGCCATAACACCGGATTTGGTGTTGCCTTTGGTCAACATACATTACTGAACGTGTTTTACAGACTGACAAGGGATTAGAAGAGCTGAACTCATGTGTATGATTGCGGAAGCTCGGCCTCTTCTACTGCAACAACACTAAATAATCCTCAATTATTTAAGACGTTTAGGAGTAAAAACGCACGATTATTTACATCGACATGTCAATCTGCAAAATAAACTGGCTACTCGCCTCAAAGCGACTCCGAGAGACGCCGTTCACCTCCTTACCCATCCTGAGCACTGTACAGTCGGTCAACCGGAGAGGAAACGCGCGTCCGGTTATTAAAAGGTGGCAGATGCGTCGGTGCCGCTGGTTTCCGTCGAGCTCATGCCGTGTTTTCGCTTAATTTCCTCGCGTTTGTATATGGCGAAGATGCAGAAGAGCCCCAGTGGTTGAAGAATGAACAAATCAAGCTTATCTCCTGTTGTGTTGCGGATCACCCCTCCTCCCCTTTACCACGACTAGATCTCAGACAGTTCCCCATCTGAAAACTACACCTTATAGTCAATATTGTTCATAAATATTGCAGTTGTATCTGTCCATACGCATTTGTCAGACTGAATTCATATTTAGCACTTTAAAGCTATGTGTGGTAGTAACTTGTTGTCTGTGGACAAGTTGTCTGTGGACAACGTTCAACGTCTTAAAGGTCGAATTTAAGTCATTTTTGATCAAATATTACCAGTTGTGTAGATGTCATATTACCAAGCTTGAAATAGTATCCATTTATAAAAAAATATGTGAGCATCATTTCAGATGAATTCAATGCATTATTTATAGTTTGACACTAAAAGTTTGTTTGTTTGGCGTGCTGAGGATATTAATACATTTCTATGGGTCAATGTGTGCAAACTACTTGTGAAAAGTGCAATATTTTGTCCTATTATAGTATGGAAAGTGTACAGACTGCAAATCATTTGTTTTCTTGTTATTGTTATGCTCGTTTCCGGGTTTGATGCGTCAGCCCCGCCTTCGGCGGTCGTAGCCAATAAAAACACAAAGATGGTCTTCGTCATTTGACGTAATCGTGGTGGTAACACGAGGCAGCGTTTTCCCAAACAAACAAAAAAGATATGGATAAGAGTCACATTTTTCTTCTAATATTTCTAATATTATTAGGTAAGTTTTACATACACAAATGTAAATGGTCAGAAAGGAAGCCCAACTTCAAAGTGGGCTTTGTTGAAAACGACGTGTTTGAGTGAGGCGGGGCATAGAGGACCTACAATAATGTACAGTATTTGAAAAATAATGTGTTTTTTGAACATTAAAGCATGTTAACATATTCTGTTACACCAAACACACAAAATAATGATCTTTAAAAAAGCATCATATGACCCCTTTAATATGACGTTGTAACATTATGGAAGGCGGATGGCGCCAAAAAACGGAACACGGAACGCGTGAAATGTGACCGTGTCAACACGCACAATTTGCCCGCGTTAATGCGGCAACGCGTTTCTTTTCTTTTGTACGTGTAGACACGCACGTTTTGGCCGCGTCAAGGCGTCAGTCTTTGCCGCGTTTATTTGGTTCGTGTGAAGACGCAGTTTGACCGCATTAAGACGACAAATTTGACCGCATTAAGACGAAAAA